GCTTCTCATACCTCTAATGAAGTTTTTGAGATCAGTGTTCTGTATTATGTCCAGTTTGTTTAGGTTTAATTTGGCTGCAGTGGAGTATGCTCTCATGCCATACTCCAGATTTGGTCGTACGTATCCTGTGTATACTTTGTCGTACAGTGTTAGCATCCGCACCCCAACTTGTTCCATTAATTTTCTCTTCAAGTATGAGCCTTAGGGTAGCTTTTCTTTGTGTGTGGTTAGCATTTTGTCGAATTTTACTCACAAATATGTGGGATTATCTTCCTTTGGTAAGATGTTGCCTTCTAGGTACAGATCAACTTGTTCTGGCTTTGTGGAAAGAGAGAAAAAAAGTTAAGACGATTTTGGTCTGGTTTATTGTGACTCCCCAAGAATCTGTCCATTTATTAACTATATTTAAAGTTTCCCGAATTCTTGTTTTAGTTGTTTCTATATGTTCAGCTTGGGTCTATATGGCCAGGTCATATCGGTTGCTTGATAACCGTGTACATTACTGGCATGTTGTCAGTTTAAGACTGCGATTCTGTCGTCATGTTGTATGTCATTGTCCTTTCGTAATATTCAGAGGTACACTATGGAAGGTTGTTAACACACGCCTTTTTCCTGGCTCTGTAGTAGACAAGCAAGGTTCACTGTCTCTGTAGTAGACTCACAAGGTTCGCTGTCTCTGTAGTAGACTCACAAGGTTTGCTGTCTCTGTAGCAGACACACTAGGAAACTATCTCTGCAGTAGACACATAAGGTTCACTGTCCGTAGTAGACACTAGGCTAACTGTCTATGTAGCAGACACACAAGGTTTACTGTCTCTGTAGTAGACACACAAGGTTCTCTGTCTCTGTAGTAGACATGCAAGGTTTACTGTCTCTGTAGTAGACACACTAGGCTCACTGTCTCTGTAGCAGACACATAGGGTTTACTGCCTCTGTGGTAGACACAGAAGATTTACTGTCTCTGTAGCAAACATTAGGCTCACTGTCTCTGTAGCAGACACACTAGGCTCACTGTCTCTGTAGCAGACACACTAGGCTCACGGTCTCTGTAGCAGACACACAAGGTTCGCTGTATCTGTAGCAGACACAAGGTTCGCTGTCTCTGTAGCAAACACACAAGGTTTACTGTCTCTGTAGAAGGCACACAAGGTTTGCGGTCTCTGTAGCAGACACACTTGGCTCACTGTCTCTGTAGCAGACACACTAGGCTCACGGTCTCTGTAGCAGAAACACAAGGTTCGCTGTATCTGTAGCAGACACAAAAGGTTTACTGTCTCTGTAGCAGACACACAAGGTTTACTGTCTCTGTAGCAGACACACAGGGTTCGCTGTCTCTGTAGCAGACACACAAGGGTCGCTGTCCCTGTAGCAGACACACAAGGTTCGCTGTCTCTGTCGCAGACACATTATTTGCTGTCTCTGTAGCAGACACACAAGTGTCGCTGTCTCTGTAGCAGACACACAAATTTCGCTGTCTCTGTAGCAGACACACAAGGTTAACGGTCTGTGTAGCAGACTCACATGGTTTACTGTTTCTTTAGCAGACACACAAGGTTAGCTGTCTGTGTATTAGACTCACATGGTTTACTGTTTCTTTAGCAGACACACAATTTTCGCTGTCTCTGTATCAGATTCACACGGTTTACTGTTTCTTCAGCAGACACACAAGGTTCGCTGTCTCTGTAGCAGACACAATGTTCGCTGTCTCTGTAGCAGACACAAGGTTCGCTGTCTGTGTAGCAGACACACAAGGTTCTCTGTCTCTGTAGCAGACACACAAGATACACTGTCTTTGTAGCAGACACACAAGGTTCAATGTCTCTGTAGCAGACACACAAGGTTTACGGTCTCTGTAGCAGACACACAAGGTTCGCTGTATCTGTAGCAGACACAAGGTTCGCTGTCTCTGTATCAGACACACAAGGCTTACTGTCTCTGTAGCAGGCACACAAGGTTTGCTGTCTCTGTAGCAGACACACTAGGCTTACTTTCTTTGTAGCAGACAAACTAACCTCACTACATTTGTAGTAGTCACACTATTCTCATTGTCTCTGTAGCAGACACACTAGGCTCATTGTCTCTGTAGCAGACACACAAATTTCGCTGTCTCTGTAGCAGACTCACATAGTTTACTGTTTCTTTAGCAGACACACAAGGTTCGCTGTCTCTGTCGCAGACACATTGTTTGCTGTCTCTGTAGCAGACACACAAATTTCGCTGTCTCTGTAGCAGACACAAGGTTAACGGTCTGTGTAGCAGACTCACATAGTTTACTGTTTCTTTAGCAGACACACAAGGTTCGCTCTCTCTGTATCAGACTCACACGGTTTACTGTTTCTTTAGCAGACACACAAGGTTCGCTCTCTCTGTATCAGACTCACACGGTTTACTGTTTCTTTAGCAGACACACAAGGTTCGCTGTCTCTGTAGCAGACACTATGTTCGCTGTCTCTGTTTCAAGAGAGTGTACAACGCAGAATGGCCACCCTCAGTTATATTGATGAAGAATACCCACAAGAACAATGGGTCAGAGTCTATACAGATGGGTCCGCAGAAAGTGCAGTTAGAAATGGTGGCGCTGGAGTGTACATCGATTTCCCAGATGGTACTAGGGATAAGTCCAGCGTACCGACCCGGAAGTACTGCCATAACTACGATGCAGAAACCCAGGCTATCAAGATAGCTACAGAGAAACTGCTAAATACCAACCTTGGCTCACATTATGTGGTAAGTAATGCTGACAGATGCTAAATCAGTACTTGAAGCACTCCAGTCTAAGAAACTACCAGAATTGCAAACACTGACACAACTCAGCGTTCAGCGAAGAGTCGTAATGCAGTGGATACCGCCCTATTGTGGAGTGCCTGGAAATGAGAAAGCTGATCAACTGGCAGGGGAAGGTGCGACAAAAGAGCAGCCGGATGTACCAGTCACATACCACCAAAAGAATAGAATCATTAAATCGATCAGGAATCCACCAGCCCCAGTACAAGACGACTATTTTATTATGGGCAGACAAGAACAAGTCATTATCCTCCGCCTCAGAACATTTCACGACCGATTACGTAACCACATGTACACAAAATTCAAGATAGGTGTATCAACCATGTGCAACTGTGAAAATGTGTCCCAGACAGCAGAGCATGAACTCCAGGACTGCACCGATTTTGAAACATTAAGGGAAACCTTTTGGCCAGAACGAACAACACTGGAACGTAAACTCTATGGACCACTGAATGAACTAACAACGACAGTGAAATTTATACAAGAGACAAAACTGCTGATATAGACAACTTATTTCAGGCGAACGAAAGAAGAAAAAAAGAAAAAGAAGAAGAAGTGTCCAGACTGCTTTGAAGATAATCCGACTCACTACTCATGACTTGTGTTGCTGTTTAATCTTTGTATTGCCATAGCCACCCTTCTGTTGACGTCTATTGCACTGTCTCCATTGCTATTTATTATAGGGCCTAGATATTCAAAATGTGTATCATTTTCAATTTCTTTATCATTATTTGTATTCTTGGGTGGCAACCAGTTGTGTCTGTGGACATTATTATTTTTTGTTTTTATTGTCTTCAAATTCAAGAGTCTTTTTTTTTTCTTTTGGACAGGCATAATTAAATGTTCTAATTCTTTTACATTGTTTGAAAGGAAGACTGTCATCTGCAAGTAAAGTTAGGAATAGGGTTGCAACCAATTATCAACGGATCGTAACTGTCACAAGTCTGGTCATTTTTTTTTTTTTTTTTACATTTCTCATTTTGTTGTCTGCCTAATTATTGAACATATATGGTAAGAGAATACACCCCGGCCTCACTCCCGACTGTATCTCGAAAAATCCGATGTTTCACCAGCTGCTCTAATGGCTGCTTCTTGTTCATGAGACAGATCTTCAATTAAACGCACCAAATGCATTTCCTCCAGCTGAAGGAACTTTGTCTTTGTCATCAGAAAACCAACACCACTCTCCGGGAAAAAACTAATGTAGCTTCTGTTTAGGTCTCGAAGAGGACTTGACCCGTTAATATGTGTGCAGAATTTCCTAATGATTCAGTAACAAATTTACTTTTTGGTCTAAACTTTTTTTTTTTTTTTTTTTTTGCAATTTGTTTTTCCAATTAAAAGACAAAACAGAAACATCGCGACCTAGTTTTTTCTAGAATCCTTGCAGAAACAAGGAAGTAACATATGTAATGTCTCTCTGAATCTTATGCTCATTTTGTAATAAAAGAAGATGTTGATGCTGGAGTTAAAAGTTTCGAAGACAAAAACAAACGACCATAGTACGTAAGTAGTGTTGGCGTATGCGCCGAAGACATTAAAGTCTGGCACCAAAAATGCCAGCATAAAAACAATTACCTCCGGCATGAAGCAGACGATCAGAACTGTGGATATCATGGCAACCATTGTCATGGCTTTCATTTCCCGGCTAGAGATTGTTTTACTTCCTTCCTGGTTTGTGTTACCCTGCATTCGCCATTGTGATTTTTATCTAAGTTGAATAACCAGAATGACTGTAAAGATGACAACACCAACAAAGGACGCAGATCCTAGTGTTGAGTTTAAGAAGCAAAATATGCTGTTTACTTCTTCATGACCGCTAGTGAAACATAGACCAAGCAGAGTTGCATTTCTAATTTCATTAATCTTCCAGCAATGATATGACGTGGCGTACTCAGGAATAAATATAACTATCATGACCATGTAGATAAGAAATATGATCAGTGTGGTCCTTGCTGGAGTGACAATCTGTTTAATCCTCAGTGGAAGAGCTATACACAGACACCTTTCTGCTGTAATAAACACCGTTATCCATCCAGTAATCCTGGCAAAACAAATATGAGGCAATCCCGCAGTTAGATACACTATTTCTACAGCCGATATACCAATGCTCGAGTAATCAATGAGAGGATTCAGGCCAAAGCCAAACCAGATAACAAATATAAGATTACAAACATCTGAAATTGCAAGTGCAAAGAAACTGATGTTGACCGTACTGCTAAAGCCTTGTTTGTAGAAGACAATAATATTAATTACATTTGTTAGTAAACCAAATAAAGCAATTAAGCCAGAAATAAAAAAGTAATTGACTAGCTCATAGATGCTTCTGTCTCTACTGCTGATTCTGTCTATCGGTTGCTTGATAACCGTGTACATGTTGTCGGTGTAAGCGTTTGAATCTGTCGTCATGTTTTGTGTCATTATCCTTTCGCAATATCCAGAGGTACACTCTTAAATGTTGTTGACCGCGCGCCTTTTCTCTGCTGTGTAGTAGACACACAAGGTTCGCTGTCTCTGTAGCAGACACACAAGGTTCGCTGCCTTTTCAGCAGACACAAGGGTCGCTGTCTCTTTAGCAGACACACAAGGTTCGCTGTCTCTGTAGTAGACACACAAGGTTCGCCGTCTCTTGGGCAGACACATAAGGTTCGCTGTCTTTTCAGCAGACACAAGGGTCGCTGTCTCTTTAGAGTCACACAAGGTTCGCTGTCTTTTCAGCAGACACACAAGGTTCGCTGTCTCTTCAGCAGACACACAAGGTTCGCTGTCTCTTTAGCAGAACATATAAGGTTTGCTGACTCTTTAGCAGACACACAAGGTTCGCTGTCTCTTTAGCAGACACACAAGGTTCGCTGTTTCTGTAGCTGACACACAAGGTTCGCTGTCTCTTTAGCCGACACACCACGTGCGCTGTCTCTTTAGCAGACACACAAGGTTCGCTGTTTCTGTAGCTGACACACAAGGTTCGCTGTCTCTTTAGCCGACACACCACGTGCGCTGTCTCTTTAGCAGACACACAAGGTTCGCTGTCTCTTTAGCAGTCACACAAGGTTCGATGTCTCTTTAGCAGTCATACAAGGTTCGCTGTCTCTTTAGCAGACACACAAGTTTCGCTGTCTCTTTAGCAGTCACACAAGGTTCGCTGTCTCTTTAGCAGACATACAAAGTTTGCTGTCTCTTTAGCAGACACACAAGGTCCGCTATTTCTGTAGCTGACACCCAAGGTTCGCTGTCTCTTTAGCAGACATACAAGGTTCGTTGTCTCTTTAACAGACATACAAGGTTTGCTGTCTCTTTAGCAGACACACAAGGCTTGCTGTTTCTGTAGGTAACACACAAGGTTCGCTGTCTCTTTAGCAGACATACAAGGTTTGCTGTCTCTTTAGCAGACACACAAGGCTTGCTGTTTCTGTAGGTAACACACAAGGTTCGCTGTCTCTTTAGCAGACATACAAAGTTTGCTGTCTCTTTAGCAGACACACAAGGTCCGCTATTTCTGTAGCTGACACTCAAGGTTCGCTGTCTCTTTAGCAGACATACAAGGTTCGCTGTCTCTTTAACAGACATACAAGGTTTGCTGTCTCTTTAGCAGACACACAAGGCTTGCTGTTTCTGTAGGTAACACACAAGGTTCGCTGTCTCTTTAGCAGACATACAAGGTTTGCTGTCTCTTTAGCAGACATACAAGGCTTGCTGTTTCTGTAGGTAACACACAAGGTTCGCTGTCTCTTTAGCAGACATACAAGGTTTGCTGTCTATTTAGCCGACACACAAGGTGCGGTGTCTCTTAAGCAGACACACAAGGTTCGCTGTCTCTTTAACAGACACACAAGGTTGGCTGTCTCTTTAGCAGACACACAAGGTTCGCTGTCTCTTTAGCAGACACACAAGGTTTGCTGTCTCTTTAACAGACATACAAGGTTTGCTGTCTCTTTAGCAGACACACAAGGCTTGCTGTTTCTGTAGGTAACACACAAGGTTCGCTGTCTCTTTAGCAGACATACAAGGTTTGCTGTCTCTTTAGCAGACACACAAGGTTTGCTGTCTCTTTAGCCGACATACAAGGTTCGCTGTCTCTTTAGCAGACACACAAGGTTCGCTGTCTCTTTAACAGACACACAAGGTTGGCTGTCTCTTTAGCAGACACACAAGGTTCGCTGTCTCTTTAGCAGACACACAAGGTTCGCTGTCTCTTTAGCAGATATACAAGGTTTGCTGTCTCTTTAGCAGATATACAAGGTTTGCTGTCTCTTTAGCAGATATACAAGGTTTGCTGTCTCTTTAGCAGACACACATGGTTGGCTGTTTCTGTAGGTGACACTCAGGGTTTGCTCTCTCCTTAGCAGACATACAAGGTTTGCTGTCTTTTTAGCCGACACACAAGGTGCGTTGTCTCTTTAGCAGACACACAAGGTTCGCTGTCTCTTTAGCAGACACACAAGGTTCGCTGTCTCTTTAGCAGACACACAATGTTCGCTGTCTCTTTAGCAGACAGACAAGGTTTGCTGTCTCTTTTGCAAACACAAGGTTCGCTGTTTCTGTAGGTGACACACAAGGTTCGCTGTTTCTGTAGCAGACAGGAGCTTCTATGTCTGTAGTAGACATACAGAAATAAATGCATGCTCATTTACATTAGCTTTGACCATGCATCCCAGCCACTATTGAGGTGAACATTAATGAGTTATCAAAGAAAAACGTCAGGGGCGACAACCTGTCAAAGAGAAGAAAAATTTTAACGAAAATATCACTCTTCATGAAAGCAACAATGATAGTTTATCAAGCTAATTACCACGCATTATGATATATCACATCTACTATATTGTCGGTAGCTATAGTTACGTAAGGGGGAGGAGGTTATGTACGCAGTTTTACAGTTCTGTTAAGCCGGGTGCAAAGGTCAGCACGGCTGACAAACCAGCTGACAAATTTGTGAAAATTATAACTATTGAAAGCAACATTGCCGGTAAGGTCAACCCTGTCAACAAATTCCTGCAGAATTCGGATGTGTGGGCTGAAATGTGCAAATATCGGAACCTTACTGTAAACGGGCACAACGCAATCACATCCCCGGATGAACACAGAGGAAATAGAAAATGTTTTATTTAAACTGTGCAGTCACGATATTTCACAGATAATTCGACTTCTCTTACAGGCTTTGATCTGCAACGTTGTGTGAGGGATAGGAAACAACTTTTTAAATTATACTGAAAAAACTAGAGATGTATACAATCATAACATGTCGATATGTCTTACATTGTAACCATAAGACGAAACCGCTCAACACGATGTCAGTTTTATTAACCCCCCACAATAATTTAACCACGCTACCATTGTGTGGACTTCAGAATTTACCTCGCCCAGTTCTATTTGCCCATTTCTATGAAAATATAATACATTGAGGAGACTGACAACACACTTGCCCCTTTCTATGAGAATATATTTAAAAGACTGATATCACACTTGCATATTTCTATAGGAATATTTTTGTGAGGCTGACATCCCACTTGCCCAGTTATATGGGAATATATTTTAGGAGAATGACATCACACTTGCTCAGTTCTATGGGAATATAATGTATTTAGAAGAATGACATCACACTTGCCCAGTTCGATTTGCCTATTTTATAGGAATATAATATATTTAGAGACCGGCATCACACTTGCCCAGTTGCTATGGGTTGTGATTTGCCCATTTCTATGGAATAATGATAAAATGCCCAGTTTAGAATATAAGACTGGCATCACATCCCCAGTTTTGCCAGTTATATGGGTTCGATTTCCTGCCCCATTATTAATGGGAATATAATATGAGAATATTTTGTGAGACTGACATCCCACTTGCCAAGTTCTATGGGATTATATTTGTGAGATTGACATCACACTTGCCCAGTTCTATGAGAATATATTTGTGAGAATGACATCACACTTGCCCAGTTCTATGAGAATATATTTGTGAGAATGACATCACACTTTTCCAGTTCTATGAGAATATATTTGGGAGACTGACATTAGACTCACCACGTTCTGTGGGAATATAGTTGGATGCATTACATCACACTCGTTATGTTATATGGGAATATTTTTGCATCGTTATATTACCATAATTAGGATCTACAGGAACATATTTGGGAGATTTACATCACTGTCCTAAAGTTCTATGAGAAACTATTTGGAATATGTGCAACACACACGTCACGTTTTATGGGAATATGTATGGAGACATACATCACACACGCTAAGTTTTATAGGATTCTATTTGGGAGACTCACATTACACTCACCTAATTCTATTGGAATATGTTTGGTAGTTTAACTTCACACTCTCCGGGTTCTATAGGGCTGCATATCAGAGACTTAAATCACACCTAATTCTATTGGAATATGTTTGGTAGTTTAACTTCACACTCTCCGGGTTCTATAGGGCTGCATATCAGAGACTTAAATCACACTCGCCAAGGGTTATAGGGAAATATATAGGAGATAAACATAAAACTCACAATTTTTTCGGGAAATAAATTTTAGATACGTACACCACCCTCGCAGTGTTCCGTGTAGATACATTTAGCAGATTTACATCACACAGGGGATAATTTTAGGAGATTTATATCACACGAGCCAATTTATATGAGTCTATTTGTTTACCTGACTAATCACTCAGCCAACTATATAGGCAATCTATTTCGCTGACTGACACTACCTTCACCCAGTTCTACAGGCATTCTATTCGACATTTGACACCCCAAAAGCAAAGCACTGTGGGCAATCTACATGACTGATAGGCCCCACACCCACCTACTTAAGGGGGCAGTCTGCGTCCTACAAAACTGTCAGCCGGCTGACTGCTGTCTTTATTTGTTTTGTTTAAATTAAAAGCGCGGATTTATCTAATGCATTTAATAATAGAAATATTATAATTGACCCAAATCTCAGATTAAACTGAGGAGAAGAAAATCTAGTGCCTGTGTCTGAGATTAAATTGAGGAGAAGAAAATCTAGTGCCTGTTTCTGAGATTAAACTGAGGAGAAGAAAATCTAGTGCCTGTGTCTAACAGACAATGGTTCTATGACCACTTACTCGACTTATCATTTCTTCACGAAAGGAATCCCTTGTTTGTAAATGCGCTTCAGTCACATAGGACAGACAGACACGAACTTCAACACGTCTAAGGCTTTCAGGTGGAAAGGAAATGGTCGCAGCCCTGAGTGACTTAGAAGATGCAGAAAACATAATCACCTTAACATGCATACAGGTGCTGTTCATCTTGCACATAGAGGCAAAATATGTCAACAGAATCGCAAGCGTTATTCGATGTAGTGATCAGGCACTAATCGACCTGCCCTAAAGGAAACCATCAGTCGCTGGCTATCTTCAGTGTGTACACATCAGGATTCCCCAGTACACAGAGGACAG